GTCCCGAGTCCAGCCGCACCTGTCCGTGCCCAGCCGCACGACAGGGCTTCAGCCAAGCCTCGGCGTGCCCAGCCTGCACCCGAGAGGCACCCAGCCGTGCCCAACCGCGCCAATGCGCGCCTAGCCAGCCCAGCGGCACTAGGGACCGAGCCCGGCCGCACCAGCCGTGCCCAGCGCCGTGCCCGGGCACCAGCTGGCCCGGCACGGGGCCGAGGCCGGTCCAGCCGATCCAGCGCCCGACCGCCCGGTCCAGCCGAGCCGGCGGTCCGGCCAGCCAGCGAACCGACCGGTTCGACCAGCGGTTCGAGTCGTTTTGATTCGTGACTTCCAGTCCGAGTCTATTTTCGGAATTTTAGTATTTTTCTGAGCCAGTCCAGTCCACTTTAATTGCGTAAATAAGTCCGAGCATTTTAGCATATAATTTAATATTTCGAGCATTATACTTAGCATTATTTTGCTTAAAAATTTATGTAGCCTAAGGAGAGTCGAGCCTCCGACCGCTACTCCAGTCAGCACTTGCATCAGTTCAGTTATCATGTGGGGGTCATGTACTGGATTCCACATTATATATAATATCTGTACCATGACAGAGGTATATTCGAGACAGTTAGTTTTTCCAGGTGATTGGCCAACCTAAGGGCCTTTCGAGTTTTACCTGGTACCGGTGGAGGCCGAGGGCCTTAATATCCCATCGGGGTGTGCACACGAGCGGCCGAGGCCGAGGGTCTTTTGACCACAGTTAAAAAGAAAAGAAAAGTTTACAGTTCAGCTCTTATATATTTATGTTCATGATACGTTATTATACCTGATGTCTTATTCGGTACTGGTCTTTGCGGAGCATAGTGGTTTGCTCACGCCCCCATTGTGTTTTTCAGGACACGGAGTCGAGCGTGTCGGGTGAGCTATGCGTGGCAAAGCGTGGTCATGACAGTCGAGGACATTTTTTCGCACATTTTATGTCCTTGTATTTATGATCATGTATTATACGGATATGTATGCATGTATGTTGTATTTCGAATATGCTTCCGCTAGCAGACTTAGACTGTGCGAGACAGTTCAGACATTGCATGTTTAATTCCATTATCCGTAGCGGATAGTTTGGTTGCATGTTTTATTTATGTCTGTGAGTAAGTTAAGTAAAAACATAAAGTTTTTATCTGTGTCATCCCGCAACAAGTTAGTGTTTTCGAAAACCAAGCTCGCACTACCTTTCAAAAACAAAAGCAAAAATTTTACTCTGATTTTTCAAAACTAGTAAGGCGGGGTGCCACACCACCTAACAAATAAACACAGTCTAAAAAAGTATATTCTCCAATGCAAATAAAAATAGATTTGGTCCTGCTAATGTGGCACCCAGAAAAAGAGACACGGTCTCCCCTTAAGTTTGACCCAAGTAGAGACCTAGTCTCTTTGCATTGGAGTGAATTTTATTAATTTTACATAGCTTTATCTATGTCATCTAAGACTTGAGTTTATTTACATGCCACGTAGGCAAGACTAGACTCAATGTATTGTAGATGCTCTTAGCTCGAAGGGATAGGGTTTGGCTGTGGGTGGAGGTGGCGCATAAATAATGGCAAGGTAAGATGAGGAGATGTCAGAAGATATTTCATATTAATTAATACTACCATTGGATTGGTATTCTTTTGACATGAGGTGTGGTTAGGGAGAGCTTGAAAAATATAGAATAATAAGACAGAAAATCAAGAAGACATACTCATGTTTCGTTAGAGTGATTATCTACAAGTTTTATTTTTTTTTTTTTCTCCCAAACACCCATGAGGGTGGGGCTTAGGCCAGACCCCCAACCTGTATATATAAAAGACCCTAAATGGGTTGAAAAGTCACAAATGTACTAGCCTAATGTTTGAAATACAATAAGTCAAACGAAAGCAAAGGCAGAAACCAGAAAAAAGAAAAACAGTGAAAAACTAGCAACAGCTACCATGCGGAGGCGAAGAGGAATATCGTCAAGATAAAGTATGCGTTTCTGAGGGATGGAAGACCCGATGCCTGCAAGGAAGTCTGTAGGACGGTTCCCCTCACGGAAGATGTGCGAGATCTGGAAGCGAATCGACCGAAGTGTGGCCCTCCATGATTCTCTGCAAGTTTAGTATGAATGAATTCTCATAAGGTGGAAACGAATAATGGTTGATTATTATATTTAATTTGTATCATGTGAAATTAAAGATGGTTCCTTTCTTCCCCCACTTTTCTCTTTGTTTCTCACATCTAGTAGCAATAATATATTTTTAAAAAATATTATTTATGCACATTGCATCTACAGTGACCAAGGTTAGGTCCCCCCAGCCTCAACCAAATCAAAACACTAGAAATTGAAACAATGATAGAGTCATGCATAGCTCGCTCACACATGCACAACTTCAGCGAGATCATTCTCCAACGCCCTAACCAAATTCTCGAAATACTTCCTAGTCACCACCGTCAGATCCCCCAGCCTCGTCCGAAACCCCTGAAAACCCTCCACTCGACACCCAGCCGACAGATACTCCCCCAACTCCTTCTCCACACACCCATGCAGCCTCTCGAGCGCCGACTCAGCCTCCCCCTGAATATACCCAAACAGCCCCAGCTTACGGGACCCACTTTCCGCCAGATAATATCCATAAGCATAACTCCACTTGAGCACTCGCCGGCACTCAACCACTTGCTCCCACGCATCCACCACGAACTTGAGTTGAGCCTTAGTCTCCCCTTGCATGATCATCAGCCGCTCCAAATGCTCTTTGCTCGCCGTTTTAAGATCCGAAAGCGCCCGCTTCCTCGACTTGTCGTTCGAGTCGAACCTCTCGAAATAGTGCGAGTACATCTCCAAGTGATTCTTTGCTCGTTTTCTCATCTGCTCCTCCGGATTTTCCTTGCTCGTCTTAACATACATGTTGCACGAGGCCGAGCAGTGGTCCCTCCAGGGCCCGAGGCAGAGCCAGCAGAACTGAAACTCGCAAGGCGCGCGGCAAGTCATGTGGTTGCAGCCCTGGTTTTTCTCGATTGCCTTCCGGCACATGGGGCAGGGCTTGGTATAGGCAAGTATCCAATTCGTGTTCTCGGCCTCGGAATTATTTTTTTCCGCCCATCTGGCGACAGCCTGGCAGTCGATAGGGCTGTGGCTCTCGTCCCCACATTTGAAACAGAGCTTATAGCCACAGTCGCAAACGGCCTCATAGCTTGCCCTGTTATCAGGGCTGATAAATTCCACCACGTTATCACAGTTGGGTCCCGGGCACCACTTCATTCTCTGAGGATTTGACTCGACGAACGAGCGGTAGAGGTATTGGTGGTAACGGGTACTGTCGGCAGGGGAAGACAGTGAGTGTACGATGTCAGGGTTCACGAGGGAATTGCAACCGGGCTCGGGGCAGGAAAGCCTAAGGCAGCCCGGCCCGTCACCGATTGCGAGGCGGATGTAGGTGGACCAGCAGTCGGAGCAGAAGGGGTGGCCGCAGGTGGAGGAGAGCATTGTGCGATTGTACTCCTCGGTACAGATCTTGCAAGCGTGGGGTGGGGGTGTTTGGGGATTGGGGATTTGGTGGTGGGCGGTGGAAATCCACGAGTCGTAGGCGGCGTTGAGGCTCCAATTGTTGAGGGAGAGGAGAGAGGAGGCGGCGGGCCTGGAGACGGAGAGGACGCTGGTGACCTCGGAGATGGCGGTGTCTTGGAGGTGTTTGATTTGATCCTCTTTGAGGATGTTGTAGGGTTTGAGGTTGGGTTCGACTGTATCGTCATCGTCATCGTCGTCCTCGCTGTAGGACTTGTAATATTCGTCATCGTCGGAGTCCATGGAATCCATCCAAGTGAAGGTTTCTATCTGTCTCTGTATATGTATATATATATCTCTCTCTTCTTTTTAAGGGGAAAGTGTAGCTTGTGATCATAGGATTAGGGTTTCATGGACTCCTAAAGTCGGATGAATTTTGGGGGATAGTGAATATCACGCAAGGATCTGAAACTCCGGATTTTACTGCTGTAGGTATGTTTCAAGTAGGAAAGGACTTTTAATTCACTAACAAGTGCTTGCTATAAATTTAGCGAAAATCTATACATATGTCTCCGTATACTAGTCCAGGTGGCCATGGAATCCATAGAATCTATCTATCTATATATATAAAAAAAAGTTGTTGATTAAATCCTTTTTGGAAACTTTTGATTAAATAAATAATACTTTTGACATTCTATTTATAGAAAGCTTAGAAAACAATAATGATATAGTTTTTTTTTATACGAAAAATCACAGTTTGAATTCAAAATTAATGGTGTAGAGATAATATTGAAACAATAATCTGTGGATAACTCATGATGGAATATGTGGATAACTAACTACTAATCTGATTTTGATAAATCTTCACCAAACACTTATTTGATAAATCTGTGGATAACTAAACTATTAGTTTAAAAAGATTTTGAAATGGCTAAGCTTATGTATTAATATCGGAATCCAAGGAAAAATAAAGCGTAAGTAAGCCCATTTATTTTTTTATACTAAAATAAAGAGATATTAACAAATATAATTTTTGTTTAATTTGATGGATAATATCAAATCATTCCAAATTTTAATAATGTACGCGAATATCATTTCAAATATTTAAATAATATCATTCTAACGCTCCAATCATCTAATATCGAGATATTTTTTCACCTATTAAATTAACACTCAATTTGCCTATAAAAATAACATACACACTCTAAGTTGTTATTGTTTCCCCACTCATCAAAAAATCAAGCAAAACATAAAGAACACATAGATATTCTGTATTGATAAGAAATCATGAGGACTCATCAAGCAAAACACCATGAAAACTCTACGCAATCCAACTCTTTTAAAGGATAAATGTATCTTTTTTCGAACAAAAAGATATTGAAAAATGATATTTTTGTTATTATGAGGTATTAAATTTTATGGGTATGAAAATCAAATTTTAGGTTGATTTGTTATAAAATCAAGGTAATATGTTTCTCAAAGTTTAGCATATTTCTATAATAACTTGCCATAAAATATTAATCATAATTTTACAAAATGGTATGTATTCCTCTTGAAAATCATAAACATCTTTGAACAAATATTGGTTAATAATATTTAAAAATTAACCGACAACAACTCTAAAAAATTGTGAGATAATATGGATATAAGGGAATTTATATATAAGGGAATATATATATATATATATATATATAGAGAGAGAGAGAGAGAGAGAGAGAGAGAAGGGATCATATGAGAATGATAGATAATGAAAGAAATAAGAATGATTCTAGACCACTAGATCCAATATATCAATGGTCATTTTGAAGTCAAACCTGGTCAATCATTAATAGCAACATGGTAAATAACTTGATGTCTTTGGTCAAATTAAAACATATAAGGGCAATTGTGTAGTTTTACACACCCATCCAATTAAGTGGGGCCCACATCACCAAACCCAATTAAATTTCTCTCTCCACCTTCTCCTCTTTCATCTTCTACCCGATCTGCGCCCTCTTTTCTCTCCCCCTCGACGGATCGCCGTTATATCGAGCTCAACCACCATCATGCCACCGTCGTATCTCCGTCGCGCATCCGTCGTGCACAGTAGTCTCCAGCGAAATCCGACGAGTAGAATGTTGGCAAGCACATCCTCCTGCCGATCTTCTCACCGTCGTCCGCCGGACTGCATAGGAATCTGCCGCGCTTGCGACCCCAATCCTCCATCCCTACCCAGCCGCTCCGAGCGGGTCGTCGTCGTGCTCAACTGCGGCGCCGCCGCTCCCACCTTCATCTCCGTAGGATGCTCCGACGAGGAAGCTTACGAGGCGGAAGCTCAGGCGACCTCCCGTTCACATGCCGGCGACGAGCGTACTTCAACAAAGTACCAGTCGGTGTTGATTGTATTTCAACAGTTTCGTTTTTTTCTTTTGTGCGATTTTTGGGGCTGATTTTGGTACATGTAGTGGGGGCGAGGATGGCGGAGATGTGGCGCGCCGGCGGCGACTTCGGCTGTCGGTAATTGACAGCGGCGAGGTAGGCTGAATAGGAGCGACGGGAGAGTGACGAGGGGATGTTTTTGGGGATGGGGTTTGATTTGGGAAATTAGATAGATTTGAGGGACTATTTTGCAATTTCTAAACTTTTAGTAAATGTATAATTTTATTTATTGATGGCAATTTAATAGTTACTAAAATGCATTCTAATAGTAACTAGTGTGCAATTCGTATAACCCTAAAGTGCACTCGTAATGTATAAAAATATATAAAAATAATAATAATATTTTTTCATATAGGCCGATTGTTTCGGTTATTTTAGTTATTATAAAAAAATAAAGCCGACACCAAAATAAAGTGTCATTGATTTTAAAAATAAATACAATTAATCAAATTGAAATATAAAGTTTCAAATAAAAAAAATTAATTATTCTGATATCAGTTGTTATAGTGCAATTTGATAGTTATTAACGTGCAACTCGTTTAACACTATGGTGCACTCACAATGCATTTATTTTTTTATGATTCGCACCGAACCAAACTAAAATATTGTCGGTCCGATTATTCCGGTTACTTTAAAAAATAAAAAATAAAGCTGAGATCTTATGGAAATAACTAAAATTTTAAAGGTAAATATATATAATTGATCCGACAAAAAATTAGAACACAATAAACAAATTCAATTGGGTTCAGTCGCTATAGTGCAATCGGTCAGTCACTAATGTGCAATCCGTATAATACTAAAGTGCAATCTGATAGTCATTGATGTGCAATCAGTCTAGCACTAATGCGCATTCCAAGTGCACTTATGTTATTTTTTTTTAACACATATATATATTTAGCATTTATAATACTTTAGTTAATACCTTATATTGTCGTTTTATGAAAATAAATAATATATACATATAGATATTTTTTTTGTACAGTTCGATTGGTTCTATTTATTTGGTTTGTTAACCAAATTGTATAAAATGATTGAAATAAATATTATTTATATTATAAATATATAATTTTTTGTTTGAAAATATATATTAAATGTTTATTCGATTGGCGTCGTCGATATAGTGCAATATTACAATCACTAATGTGCAATCCGTCTATCACTGATGTGCACTCGAAGTGCAACTACTTTTTAGAACAATATATTTACTATTTATAATTTTTCATTTTATATTATTAGTTTTTCAAAATAAATAATATATATATAGATAAAATATAAATATAATATTTTTATATAATTTGGTCGGTTATGTTATTATTATTATTATTATTATTATTATTATATACTAGTCATTTACTAAATGCAAAATGAGAAAACTAAAGGACGTGAGCTGTGAATTAATGCCACGAAAAAAATACAAATACCTTTGGCTTCCGTTTCATAGCTCTAATTAACGTTGGTTAACCAGAAAAACTCATTTTGAAAGGACAGATCGGAGTAAGCAGAGTAAGCTACTGTACTCTTCCTGGTAAGCTGGGCATCGGGGTAATGACTGCCTTTATTAAGTTTGTTTTTCGAAAAAATAAAATATTTTTATGCGTGAGTTCTCATTTTTATTGGGTGTTACTATTCACCGCCCCTCCTTTTACTAGTCACCGCCCCTCTTGGACAATTTTGCCCTTCTCATTTTTTCTAAACATCTCAGAGGAAAGTGTACGGTGAAATGTCGTCAAATTCGGAGGTACGAAAAAATACGTGTCCGGCCGCCGGTTCCGGACAGCTTATAGCCCGTCCGGAACCGGCGTCCGGACGGCTTAAAGACCGTCCGGAAAGCATGGCCGGTCGGACCGGCCGTGTCCGAACCGGCCGGCCGGACGGCAAGAAAGCCGGCCGGAAACGACGGCCGGTCGGAACCGGCTCTGTCCGGTTCGGCCGGCCGGTCGGCAGTTTTTTTTTTAAAAAAAAAAATAAATTTATTATGTTATTTATTCGAAATAATTATGTTATAAATTGGACTATATTATTATGTTATAAATTATTATGTTACATTTTAGACTTGATTATGATATAAATTGGACGTTTATCGTGTTAGGAGTTACAAATTATTATGTTACATGTTGATTATAATATAAATTGGACGTTTAGATATTATCGTGTTAAATTTTTGGTCGCCGCTCCCAAACCCTCGCCGCTCCCAAATCTCCTCGCCGCTCCCAAACCTCGCACAGCTCGTCGCTCCGAGTTCAACCCGTCGGCCTTCCTCAGTTGGCCGCTAGCTCTGCCGGCGGTCGCCGGCCCTAGGCCGTTTGGCTCCCCCCCCTATTTTTTTCTGCTTCGCTACCTTCTCTCTCGGCGTTCGTTCTCGTCGGCTGCAGTCGGAGTTCGCCTTTTCTGGCGCCGACTCTTGATCTCACGGCGGTGAAGACTGGGTTGGGAGGTGGTGGAGCCGTGGAGCGGTTCTCGGGGGGGATGCGCCTCAATTGCTCGGTGACCTAATTTGGGCGATTGGGGCTAGGCTGCGTTTCGTCTTCTTCTTCCCCGCTGCTTCTGGTTTTGAGGCGCTGGGGTCGTCGTGGTTTCTTCTCCGCCAGTGGTGTTGGTCGGAGTTGGGCCGCGGCGGCGCGTTGGCTGAAGGCAGCTTCCAGGCGGTTCGGGGTTGGGTCGGGGCCGTAACATTTTTGTCCGATTCAGGGCAATATGGTGTTGCGGGCCTGGTTCGGGGTGGATTGGTGTTGTCCTGGGGTTAGGGTTTCGACACCGTTAGGCAACCGAATGGTTTGGGCAGTTTCGGGATAGATACTTCTGGCTGTGGGACTCACCTTCGCTTTGTTTCCGCTGGTTCGGTTTGGTGTGCTACTTTGGAAGGGCTTGATTAGTTATGTTGCTTTATTTTGATTAGTTCAATGTTTGATTGTTTGTTTCAGTGTTTTTGTGTGGTTTTGTCGAGTCTTGTGGTGTGTTCGTTTGCTTTTGTCTGGGAGATGAATTCAGGCTAGGCATTGTGCAGTGGCTCTGTATTTCATTTTCCTTTTTTTCTTATTATTGAGTCATCTAGGCCGCCATGTGCGTGTCCTCTCAGTTTGTTGTTTTGTGGTTCTTAGGCGTGTTTTTGGTTTGGGCTGGTGGCCCCTGTCTCATTACCCTGTTGGGGTCTTGTAATTTGTTCTTTTTGCACTTTTGTGCTTTTATATATATCGTGTTACGAGTTAGAAATTATTACATTATATATTAGTTTTAGTTATGTTATAAATTGACGTTAGATAGTATCGTGTTAAGAGTTACATGTTTATTATAATATAAATTGGACGTTAGATATTATCGTGATCGTGTTAGGAGTTACAAATTATATTAATTGAACGTTAGATAATATCATGTTACGAGTTACAAATTATTATGTTACATCGTAGAATTAATTATCTTAATTTAACATGTTTTAAAAATAAAAATATTGTACTATATAGCAGGAGTCATGGGAAGATTTTGGAGGAGATGGTGTTGATTACAGTCTGCGTTTCGATACATCTTCATTTTATAATAGTGCTCAGGAGGCTATTGAAGCTGCAAAACACCAGGCAATGCTGAATGGTTTCCTATTAATTATTTCGAGCCACAAAAAGAAAACGGTCAGACTTTTGAAGTGCCATAGAGGCGAACGGTACAGAGGCACAGGCGGAAATTCTAGAAGGACAAAAACGAATAAGTGCGG